CCGCGGCTGGAAATCAGGCTAGGGTTTTTCGATTCAGAAGAATGACGTTGGTGAACATGAAGATCGAAAAGTTCACGGTGAAGAACAGCTTCACTATATGGCAGATCAAGATGCAGGCTTTATTAAAACAGCAAGGGCTGTGGGGGCCGCTGACAGAAGAAGGCAGCGGTCGATGACGATGAGTGGAATAGCCTGGAGGAGAAGGCCCACTCGACCATTATGCTATCGTTGTCTGATGACGTCATCATTGAAGTCACTGCTGAGAAGACTGTCGCGGGCTTGTGGTTGAAACTAGAGAGTCTATACATGACTAAGTCTCTAACCAACAAGCTGCATCTCAAGCAACGGTTGTTCAGCTTGAGGATGCAAGAAGGTACGCCTTTGAGGGAACATCTCGAACAGCTTAACTCTATTTTGCTGGATCTGCGTAATATAGATGTTCAAGTTGATGACGAGGATGCTGCCCTAATCCTACTAGTTTCTTTGCCGAGTTCATATGAGAATTTCGTTGATTCTTTTATTGCTAGTAAAGAAAGCGTGTCGTTGGAGGATGTCAGGTCTGCTCTTCATACGAGAGAGATCTGGCATAAGGCGTCTGGATCTAGTACAGGTGGCGAGGCATCGGGTTTGGCTGTTACAGGTAGAAAGGGAAAGAAGAAATCTGGTAAAGGGAATTCGAACAAGAATTCCAAAGGTCCCGGTCCACAGCCAGGTGATGCTTGTCACAACAGTAAGGAAGTGAGGCATTGGAAGTACAACTGTCCCAAGAGAAGAGGGCAACAGAAGAAACAAGGTTCAGTTGCCGTGGCAGAAGTGGACAACAGTTCTGAAGACGATCTCGCCTTGGCTGTAGATGAGAAGGCACATCGTGGGGATGTGTGGTTTCTGGATACTGCAGCCTCATATCATATGTCTCCGAACAGGGATTGCTTCACAACCTACGAGCATATAGATGGTGGTAACGTGGTCATGGCTAATGGAGCTGTCTGCAAGGTTGTTGGAATCGGGTCCATAAAGGTTCGGACACATGATGGTTCGTTCTGTACCATGAATGATGTCAGACATGTTCCACGAATGACAAAGAACCTGATCTCCTTGAGTCTACTCGACAGCAAGGGTTTCAGTTTCAAAGGAAAAGGTGGAGTTGTGTATGTCTGCAAAGGTTCAAGGAAGGTGCTGAAGGGCGTGAAGCGTGGGACCTTGTATGCATTACAAGGGTTTGTGTTGTCTGGTTCTGCTGCAGTTTCATCGTCTCAGGTTCATCAGGAAGATATGACCACTCTCTGGCACATGAGACTGGGGCATATGAGTGAACGGGGGATGCAAGTTCTGTCGAAGAGGGATCTTCTTTGCAGGCACAAGATGCAGAATTTGGAATTCTGCGAGCATTGTGTGTTTGGGAAGCTACATCGCAGCAAGTTTCCCAAGAAGGGTATCCACCGGACGAAGGGGATACTAGATTACCTCCACTCCGACTGTTGGGGTCCTTCACGAGTTGAGTCCATTGGAGGCAGCAGGTATTTTCTGTCTATTACTGATGATTATTTGAGATTTACTTGGATTTTCATGATGAAGCAGAAAAGTGAGGCTTTCACGAAGTTCAAGCAGTGGAAGACATTGGTGGAGAATCAGACCGGGAAGAAGATCAAGAAGTTGCGAACGGACAATGGTCTAGAGTTCTGTAATTCTGAGTTCAACGAATTCTGCAAGGATGAAGGGATTGCCCGTCATCGGACTGTGAGAGATACACCCCAGCAGAATGGCGTTGCAGAAAGGATGAACCAGACATTGTTGGAGAGAGCACAGTGCATGCTCTCTAATGCTGGACTAGAGAGAAGATTCTGGGCAGAAGCAGAGAACATGGCGTGCTTCCTGATCAACCGTGGACCTCACACAGGTATCGAGTTGAAGACCCCTTATGAGGTGTGGTATGGTAAGCTTGCTGATTACTCTTCACTGAAAGTTTTTGGGTGTCCTGTTTATTATCATGTGGATGAGGGTAAACTGAACCCAAGGGCAAAGAAGGGTGTATTTGTGGGTTACGGAGATGGAGTTAAGGGATTTCGAGTCTGGTCACCTTCTGAGCATCAAGTTATACTTAGTAGAAATGTGATATTTGATGAGAAGTCTATGTTTAACCCCATGTTGAAGGTTACTGTTGTTGAAGGTAGTAGGAATGTTGATAAGTAGGTGGAGCTGCAAACTCTCAAAGAGAGTGAGTTTGAGCACCAAGGTGGAGAAGATCAACATGATGAGAATGTCTCTGCAGAGCCAGAAATTTCAAAGTCCAGTGCAGGAGCTCAACAGTCTATTGCTTCCGGTAGACCGAAGAGAGTGACTGCAGGAGTACCTCCACAGAGGTATGGTTTCGAGGACATGGTGGCGTATTCATTTCAGGTTGCTGAAGAAGTGGATGCAGGTGAGCCACAGTCCTATAGAGAAGCCGTTTCGGGTGGCGAAGCTGATCAGTGGCTTGCCGCAATGGGAGATGAGATGGAATCCCATGACAGGAATCAGACTTGGGAGCTAGTCAAACGACCACAGGGAAGGAAGATTGTTACAAACAAGTGGATCTACAAGAAGAAGGAAGGAATCACTTCTAAAGAGGGCATGAAATTTAAAGCTCGGGTGGTTGCACGAGGCTTCTCGCAGAGGGAAGGAGTTGACTACAATGAGATTTTCTCACCAGTGGTCAGACATACTTCGATCAGAGTGTTACTAGCAATAGTGGCACATTATGACTTGGAGCTCGAGCAGCTAGACGTGAAGACAGCTTTCCTACATGGAGAGTTGGAGGAAGAAATTTACATGACTCAGCCAGAAGGATACGAGGTTCCGGGAAAAGAAGACTATGTTTGTAAGCTGAAGAAGTCCTTGTATGGACTTAAGCAATCTCCGAGGCAGTGGTACAAGAGATTTGACAGTTACATGCTTGAGCTGGGCTACAACAGAAGCCCATATGATTGTTGTGTATATCACAGCAAGGCAGAGGATGGTTCGATGATATATCTAGTTCTGTATGTGGATGATATGCTCATAGCTGCGAGGTTAAAGTCTGATATCCAGAAGTTAAAGGGGCTTCTCAGTGCTGAGTTTGAGATGAAGGATTTGGGAGCTGCTCAGAAGATCTTGGGTATGGAGATTTACAGGGATAGGTCGAAGAAGAAGCTTTTCTTGTCACAGAAGAGCTACATCCAGAAGATACTGTCGAGGTTTGGCATGTCTTCAGCAAAGCCCTTAAATACTCCTAGTGCTTCAAATGTTCATCTATCATCAGATTATGCACGGCAGTTAGAGGCTGAGAAGGAGTACATGTCGAGAGTCCCATATGCTAGTGCAGTAGGTAGCTTGATGTACGCTATGGTATGCACTAGACCTGATCTTGCACATGCTGTTAGTGTTGTCAGCAGGTTCATGATACAACCTGGGAAGGAGCATTAGCAGGTTGTGAAGAGGATCTTCCGGTACCTTAAGGGTACACCTGATATGGGGATTAGCTTCGGAAGTGATACAGAGTGCTTGGTGTCTGGGTATTCAGACTCGGACTATGCTGGAGATGTTGACACGAGGAGATCGATGACCGGTTATGTATTCACTCTTGGGAGTTCTGTAGTGAGCTGGAAGGCAACTTTGCAGTCGGCGGTGACATTGTCTACTACTGAGGCAGAGTATATGGCGTTGACAGAAGCTGCTAAGGAAGGAATATGGTTGAATGGACTGGTTGGTGATCTGGGTCTACATCATGATCAGGCAGTGGTATATTGCGACAGTTTGAGTGCAATATGCTTGGCCAAGGATCAAGTCCACCATGAGAGGACTAAGCACATCGACGTGAGGCATCATTTCTTGAGGACAGAGAAGAGGATTAAGGTGAAGAAGGTTGGCACCGAGGATAATCCTGCTGATATGGGCGCCAAAAACTTGACTCGCTACGACACAACACCTAACAATGGCCAAGTGTAACCAATGGAAGGGACTGCAGTATAGTGACTCAAGTGATAAATATCGAATCCACGGGTCTCTAGAGTTACTATTACTCAGCTTCATTTTATTATTTAGCAAACCAGATTAAGATGAAAGAACTAAAACTACTCTAGCAAACTACAGTTAAAGTTAATCTAATTATAGGTTGGGAACTCACTTAGGTATGATTCCCCCTAGCCACTAGCCAGACTAACGATTGATGATTTCCAACTTGTTTCACTTTCATTAACAATGCGGAGAATCCTTGACTAGACCTTGAGTCTCGACTAAAGGAACAAGGCCCTCTTGAGTCAATTGCCTAGAGGGACGTATCCTTCTCTAGAACAACTGATCAAGGCGTTCTGAACTAGACTCCCTCTATCGAAAGAGGTTCTCAATCGATACAAAGCAGTGAATCAACCCTCGACTAAAGCAATCAATCCAATACTATCAATCTATGGTGCTCTATTGACCTAATAAGGTATTCCCTCTCATAGGATCAAAGCAGAATCAATAATCTCGACTAAAGCAGAATTGAATCATGAAAACATGCATAGATTGAATATGAACTCAAGATTATCAAGTCAGAGTACCCATACAATCATCCAATCGAACAAACATAGCTAGGGTTCCTCAAAACCTAAGTGAAGGGAAGTTACTCCATAGAGAAGAGAGAGACTGCAGTAAGAATCTTCAGATGATCAGTCTTCAAGTCCGGGCTTGTTCCTCGAGCTCCCAAGGAGAATAAATCCTCCAATTCCACTCCAAGAATGCCCTCAAATCGCCCTCTCTCTCTTTGGTTCGTCCCTTGGGTGTTTGGGATCCAAAACCCAGCTCTCCCTTTCCTTTGGCTTCAATTTGCCTAAAAAACCCGATTCTGGGCAAAACACGGTCGAGGGCACGGCCGTGCTTTGGTTTTGTCTGCCCGTGTTTTGCCCCGTGTTAAAAACACGCCCGCGCGCGTCGGCCAAAACACGGTCGTGCCTAAATATTGGCACGGCCGTGTTTTGATTTCAGCGCGCCAGTGTTTTTACTGTCGAACCTGTTCCCCTATATTCAATGCTTCGTTTCTCCCTCATCCGGACTCTGAATCAGTCGCCGTTTGATCCCAGACGCTCGTAGTCTCGTCCTATTTATTTTAATGACAAGATTGCATGAATCTTTTTCCATAAAGTGAGGTATAAATCCATTCTTCTTCTTCAGGTCATGCCGAGTTTCTTCTCCCGAATCGCCAATTGATCTCTGATTGACTTGAAACTTTCGCCTATGCTTCACTTTATGTGCTAGGACCTGAAATGTGACAAAGTAACACAACCTAGCATAAAATAGGCCAAAGACGCGATAATTAAAGCTCAAACGATCAAGAAACAAAGGGGAAAACATGTGCAAATATCGAGTCATCAGACGCCCTCCCAGTCGGCAAAAGGCATGGTGCAGTCCAAGCTTCCCTCTAGTGCTTGGCCTTAGCAAGAATCGAATGGGCCAAGGAGGGCGGAGTGAGGGTGGAGGAAATACCTTTGAAGCACATGTCGTTTCTATTTTTCCACAGGAGCCAAGCGGCAATACTGAACAACGCCGCCCAACCATCCCCCAGGTGCTCGTCATCCCCGGCAGCTAAGTTCATCCGAAGCCATGCTGATGTGTCCGCCGAGAAGAATCTCTGTTGTCTAGTAATGGGGACCTGTCTCGTCCAAAAGTTGGCCGCCGAGGGGCAGTCCCTGAGGATGTGAAGGACGGTCTCGGCTCGGCCATTACATCGAACACAGTGGGGAGAATTAGCTGACTTCCTGGAAAAAAGAAGAGCTTTAGTCGCAATTCTGCCCAGGCAAACCATCCACATAAAACAACGGATCCTTTCCGGCATAGGCAGACTCCAAATGATCTTCCAAAACTTTTCATCCCGATCCGGCTCTTGAGGCAGAAGAGACTGGTAGGCTGACTTCGTTGTGAATCTCCCGGTTGATGACAAGGTCCAGAACAGGGTATCTTCCTTGCTGGAGAGCTTATCTACCGCCACACCTGTGATTTTCTGCTGAATGCCTTGAGGAAGAATATCCTCAAACATATACCCAAACATATGTGATTTTCTCCCTCTGCTGTCACAAAGTCCGCCACAGACTCCTCCATGTGCGGATTAGGAATTTCCTCAACCGCCAAATTCTTGAGAGGTTCCTGCACAATCCAAGAGTCATGCCAAAATTTAGTAGCATTCCCATTCTTTATATTCCAAGCACATCCTCCTTTCAACAGGGAGGAAGCTCTGGTTATGCTTTTCTAGGTAAAGGAACTTCCCTGAACTGGTCTAAAAAGATCCAGATTCTTTTTGCTCCACCCGTACTTATCTCTGACCACCTGCGTCCAAAGCACGTCCTTCTCTTTTAAGAGTCTCCACCCGCTTTTAGAAAGCATGGCTAGGTTGGCATTTCATACGAAGCGGAGGCCAGCACATCCTTGATTCTTCGGCAAGGTTATCTTCTCCCATCCAACCAGGTGGATTTTCGATTTCCCTTCTTCCTCTCCCCAGACAAAGTTCCTGTTGATACAATCAATAGAAGCACAAACTCCTTTAGGTAGTAACTCAGTGTGCATGTGGTAAGTGGGAAGAGAGGAAATTATAGACCTGGAAACAGTGAGACGAGCTGCCAAGGACAAACGCTTGGCCTTTCACGGAGCTAGCTTCTTTTGGATGCGGAGGAGAAGGCCCTGATATCTCCCAGAAGTCACCCGACCGTGAATGCCAAGGATACCAAGATATCTCCCAAGCTCAGCCTTCAGGGGGACCACCGCCCTCTCGCTCAAGGTAGGAATTGTGGCTGACTCGCTACGACACAACACCTAACAATGGCCAAGTGTAACCAATAAAAGGGACTGCAATATAGTGGCACAAGTAATAAATATCGAATCCACGGGTCTCTAGAGTTACTATTACTCAGCTTCAGTTCATTATCTAGCAAACTAGATTAAGGATTGATTTATAAACTACTCTACTGACTACTCTACTAATTACAAGTTGGGAACTCACTTAGGTATGATTCCCCCTAGCTCCTCAATTAGGTCCAAATTGCAATTACCTTTGGTTGATCTACTGTTGATTAAACTGCGGAAGATCCTAAATTAGCTTGGAATCTCTTAAGCTGACCAAGCCCTCTTAGACAGAATACCCGGCAGGCGACTAGCCTTCACCGGGATAGACTGCTAAGGCGATTCACACAGATCTCCACTACTGGAATGAATTCCAGTACAAAGCAGTGAATTGATCGACTCTCACACAACCAATTCACCACTATCAATCAAGGAAGCTCTCTTAACCTAATCAGATTCTATCTATCATAGGTTAAAGCAGAAATCAAGAGAATTTGATCAAGATTCAATTGACTCAATAAATCATGGCTCAATCGATTATAATCAAACAATATAGCATCCAAAACTTCATACAAGAAAGATCCTAACACATGGAACTAGGGTTCCTCAAAACCTAAGTGAAGGAAAGTTACTCCATAGAGAAGAGAGAGAGACTGCAGAAATTTGATCTAGATCTTCAATCTCCATCTCCAAGCTTGATTCCCGAGCTCCAATGGCGAAGAAATCCTCCAAAATAGCTCCAAGAATGTTCCCAAGTCGCTCTCTCTCTCCAGGGTTCGTCCCTTGGGTGTTTGGGATCCAAAACCCAGCTCTCTCTCTCCTTTGGCTCGAAATTGGCTTAAAACCAGAAATTCCTGACTCACACGGCCAGGCCACACGGCCGTGTGACTTTCCCAGCTGCCCGTGTGAGAGTCCAAATGTGGCGTTTCGATTAGTGGGCAACCAGGCAAGCTGCACGGGCAGAGGCCACACGGCAGTGTGGCTCCCCAGGATGCCCGTGTGGCCTTTACCGAGCCTTCACACGGCCACAAGGGGCCCCTACACGGCCGTGTGAGGTGCAATGGTGCCCGTGTGGCTTCCCAGCTTCTCGCCAAACGTCCAATCTTCGTCCAATTGACCCCGAACTCGTTCCCAAGCCTTCATTCATGTGCTAGGACCTGAAATATCACAAACACGAACAACCTAGCGTGAAATCGGCCTAAAAAGTGGGAATCGACTTCTCAAACGGCTCAAGAATAGGGGTAGAAACATGTGTAATTATTGGTCTATCAAACTCCCCCACACTTAACCGTTTGTTTGTCCCCAAGCAAACCTAACACAAACCAATGCAACTCTCCAGACCTCTATAGCAACAAACAACCCCGATAGTCGGTAGAGGATTTTCTAGATCATAAAGCAGCTTACGAGGTCAACTGGTCTTCTAAGATGTTCCCTATCTCTCTCAAAGCGAGTACTAGACTCAAGCCAGGATCATGCGAAGAAGTAGAAGTAAGACAGTCAGTTCATGGATAAAGGGACTCATATCATTCACAACCAGGGACTCGTTGTACCGGGGTGCTCTTTCGCTTCATTTCACCGTTGGAACCCCTTTTTCACTTTCACTTTATTTCTTCTTTTTTTTTTCGTTTCATTCACTTAGCGGGGGTTCCAACTGCAGTCTTTTGCACGGTCGACCCTTATTAGTCGAGCAAGAGCAATTTCTGTACATCTGGCCCTCGCCAGAGTACTTCTTTTAACTCCTTTTCCTCAACTCGTGTGGAGGGTCAATGAAATTAAGGGGGGGTCGGAAGCTCTATCCGTGCCCTTAAAAACACATCCTCAAGTAGGCAAACCGTTCAACGGGTGGAAGTTTTACTTGTACTAGAGACATCTTAGCTTCACCTTGTAGGAGTACCCCACTAAGGATCACTAAAATCTCTTCCAAAACCCGATCTAAGAAGGAGGATTAGAAATCGAATTTTTGGTGGAAACATATGTATCTTGAGATAGAAGATAGAGTGGATAAAATCTTGGCTGTACAACGGAGAGTGGTGGTTATTGAATCTATAGGTTTATGGTTTTTGTAGCTATCACAACCTATTTTTATCTTTGTTCTTGATTGATTTACTAAAGTAAGTCAATTCTTTATTCAACATACTGGAATTGATAGATAAGGAAATTTTGTTCCTTATTACTTTGATCGAGTCTATTAGTATATTGGAGGTAACCCTAATTTTGTCGTTTGCTCTCAAGTATTGATGGTCCCCTTATAGTTGAGTTGTTAGTATATAGTTGACTTGAATCAACAATTCTCTATTTCTTTTTAATTAGTGGCATATTATTCCTAAAAGGAGAGCATTAAACCATTTATGTAGGATTGCTAGGTTTAAGATTTAGTTTCAAACTATCTATGTGTCGTGTCGGAATTCCAATAAGTTTTTATACTCTATCTTTCTTGACAATCAACTAACCAATAGCATTTTATATTCTTAAATGATGATGATATTTCTTCGAATGTCCGACCTATTTATTTTATCTTTATGTATCATCTCGATCGAAAGATTGTCAATAAAATTAACCTAGTTGATAGACTTAATGTAACATAAAAACATAAATAATCAAATATGAACATTCCGGCTAACAGGCCAGTTTATAGGCTAGTATATATAAGGTATGAGTAGGAATAACAACTTAATCCAAACTACCGAAACCGACCCGACTCAATCTGGTCAAATTGGGTAAAATTCAGTTTTGATGGATTTTGGGTGGGGTATGGATTTTACCATTTTTAAATATGGTGGGTTGGGTTGGGTTGGGTGAATATGGGTTTGTCAAAACTCAACTTGCTTTTCATCCAACCCCTAAAGTAAAACGACGTCATTTTGTATCTAACAGGAATAATATGAATCATTTATGAATGCTATTAATCTTTACTAGTTTTGTGCCAGCCCGATGAGCGGCAAGTTTCATTTGTTTGTACATTTACTTCTATTATATGTCATTTTTTCAATGGTATCGGACACCTAGTTTTTCATATTTATTTATTATTGTTATCTATTATCCGTGTTTCATCAGATATGAGGGGCGCTACATTTACTCCAGATTTTAATCATGATCAACAATAATGTCAAACAGCATTGTAACTTCATCACTACTTGCAATTGCAAAATAGTATTCATACCATCTAATATTTGATTGTACTAGCAATTTTCAACTTCATAAGTTGTACATTGTTTAAGCTAGCGCACGCCACCTTACCGTACTCATATCGAGTTTTGCTATTAAGATCATAAGATTCATTTAATACAAAAATAATAACCAAGGATTGTTATTTGTCAAAATTTGGGGTTAATATATTTGTATGGCCTGAACTTTGCACATAATAAACATTATGGCCAATCTTTTCGATCTATAACATCCTGGCCCAAACTATGCATCAAAGTAACAACATTGGCTAAACTCGATGTTTGACCGTTATCTTGGATGGTCAAACGCGTTGACTAATGGTATACGCGCCACGTCACTGCCAAGTGAACAACTTTCACATAAAGTTTTTTTATATTTTCCTCTCTTTCATTGGCTTTCTACCAAGCTCGACTCGAGGAGGCCTCTATTGAGGCTCGGAAATGCAAGTCTCAGGGTTCTTCCCATTGGTCTTCATCTTCTTCGACTTCAACGGATCGCAAACCTCCTACTCCGTCGTTGGCTGTTACTCCTTCGCCGACGGCTGAGCGTGGTCCGTTCGGGAAGGGCATGTGCTACAAATGTGGGGAGCGCTACTTCCATGGCCATATCTTTCGAGCTAAAAAGCAATCGCGGAAGATCTCGAGGTTTCCTTGCGGGCTTTGGGAAATGGATCGTCTACGCAATCGCTCCAGATTTCGGCAACGGCAGGCCGCACTAATTTGTTGGTATTGATTGATACAGGCAGCATCCATACCTTTCTGAGCAGGGAGAAGGCGTCCGAGTTAGGTTGTCGGCTTGACTCAGCATCGCCGATTCGTGTCAAAGTCGCCAACAGAGCTTCCTTGGTCAGTGATTCGATCTGTATGGACTTTGGAATTGGGCTCTCTGGACTTGGTGATGGGCTTGGATTGGCTGGAGACAGCAACGGCGGATCTAGGGGGGCCGCCCCCGAGCCACGTCCCTGCCCTCCTTGGATCCAAAGCTCGTATAGTACTTGTAAATTTTCGATTTTGGTTATATATTTATGTGTTTATTGGATTATGGCCCATCCCTCTCCATCTCTTTTTAAATGCGGCCCAGTGCTCTAATCTATTCTGGATCCGCCGCTGGGAGACAATAAGCCAAATAGAAATGGACCTCAAGAAACGACAAATGAATTTCGAATGGGAAGGCCGTAGCTTGACATTGCAGGGTATTCTTCCAGAGGGGCAATGCAAGATTCTTTCTGCGAAATCCTTCAAACAGCTACTGCGCAAGAAGGTTTCTTCTTTTATTGGAACCCTCTTTGCCATTACCAATTCCGACTCTTCTTCTTCCCCTTCGCCTACTCCTCCTTTCTTACAACCCTTGATTGCCCAGTACTCAGATGTCTTTGCCACTCCATCTTCTCTTTCTCCTTTCCGATCTTTCGATCATTCTATTCCTCTTCTTCCCGACTCCAAACTTGTTAATATTTGGCCCTACTGTTTTCCTCATCACCAAAAGCGGCGGCGGAAACACTGATAGCCGATATGATCAAGTCTGAATTGATTCAAGCCAGCCACAAACCCTATGCTTCCCCAGTATTATTGATTGGCAAGAAAGACGGGTCCTGGCATTTTTGTGTATACTACAGGGAGCTGAACGCCAATACCATCAAGGAAAAATTTCCCATCCCTCGCATCGAGGACCTGCTCGATGAACTCCATGGAGCTCGGTTCTTCTCCAAACTTGATCTTCGGGCGGTATCACCAGATTCGTATGAAGCCGGCTGATCAGTTCAAAACCACGTTCCATACTCACCCAGGTCACTACGGATTTCGGGTAATGCCCTTTGTTCTCACAAATGCTCCAGCAACCTTTCAGTCTCTCATGAACCATGTCTTCCGCGAGCATCTGCGCAAGTTCATTTTGGTTTTTTTCGACGATGTTCTGGTATATAGCCCACGCAAGAGCTTCATTTTCAATATTTGGGGATTGCCCTGAGTCTTCTTCGAGAACATCAGTTGTTTGCTAAGATTTCGAAGTGTTCATTTGGTCAAGGGCAAGTCGAATACTTGGGTCATATTATTTCTGCTGAGGGTGTTTCTACTGATCGCACCAAGATTGCTGCAATGATTGATTGTCCTCAACCTCGTTCTGTGAAGGCTCTTCGCGACATTCTAGGTCTTACGGGGTACTACAGGAAATTACAGAGTGATTAGCCGTCCTCTGACGAACTTGTTGACAAATAATGGCTTCACTTGGAACCAAGAGGCTGAAGCTGCATTTCTCGCTCTCAAATAGGCTATGTCTTCTGCACCAGTGTTGGCCCTTCCTAATTTTGATCTCCCATTCACATTGGAGACAGATGATTGTGGATCTGGGGTAGGGGCTGTTCTTTCGCAGGAAGGGCGACCATTGTCCTACTTCAGTAAAACTTTGGTCATTTGTAACCACGGTTTGAGTATGTACGAGAAGGAACACCTTGTTGTTCTTATGGCAGTGGACCACTAGCGTCATTACCTCGATGGTCGTCCCTTTACCATACTGACAGATCACGAGAGCCTGAAGTTCCTTTTGGGGCAGAAGGTCCATACTACGATACAGAAGAAGGGTCTAGTCAAGCTTATGGGATTAGATTTTATGCTTCGTTACCGAAGGGGCAAATTTAATGGGACTGCAGATGCTCTATCTCGACGTTTTGAAGAAGATACCGAAGTTTAGGATTGTATGGCTCTGTCCTCCGTCATACCAGAATGGATGGTCGACATTGAAGCTTCATATGTGGGGGATGCTGAGTTGGCTCCTCGCATTGCTGCCACTGCCATTCAATCAAGTGGTCCTCATCAATGGGAGTTCTCTCAGGGTGTCTTGTGTTATAAGGGAGCCATTGTAGTTGGATCCACCGGAGGGCTCATGCAGAAACTTCTAGGACTTTTCCATTCCTCTACTGTAGGGGGCCATGCTGGTGTTCAGGGTACGTATCAGCAGTTGAAAGGCCATTTCTATTGGCATGGTATGAAGGGAGTTGTTCAGACGTGGGTGAAAGAAAGTGATGTGTGCCAGTGTTGTAAATCGGAAACGGTAGCTTCGCCCGGCTTACATACACTGTCACTCTAGTTGCTTAGGTGTTTTTTGATGAAATTTTCAACCTCCACGGCATGCCCTAGACTATCGTCTCTGATCGTGACGCTATCTTCACCAGCTCGTATTGGACTGAGTTCTTCCGTCTACAGCGCACTGATTTGCTCTACTCGATGGCGTATCACCCACAAACCAACGGCCAAACTAAGAGGGTGAACCGCTGTTTGGAGGATTATCTGCGTTGTATGACATTCCATCAGCCTAAGGAATGGCAGGACTGGCTTACGCTTGCGGAGTGGTGCTACAACACTCACTATCATATCAGCACGATGATGACTCCCTTCGAGGCTCTTTAGGGTTTCCTCCGACTTTCTTTGGCTTCTCGGATGAGGCACGTTCAGTAGTAGGGGCAGTGGAAGACCGAACTCAACAACATCAAACTCTGGTTCAGCTGCTGCGCCACAACTTGTCCATTGCTCAGAACAGGCAGAAGCAGTATGCCGACAAGCACAGGTCAGAGCGTTCCTTACAGCTACACGATTGGGTTTACCTGCGCCTTCATCCCTATCGTCAGAACTCTGTCGTGATCCGTTCCAACACTAAGCTAGGTGCCCGCTTCTATGGACCCTACAAGATAATTCAGAAGGTGGGTGTTGTCGCTTACAAACTCGCCATGCCAGCTGATTCAAAGGTCCACCTGTTTTCCATGTCTCCCAACTCAAGAAATGCTCCTCCAAATCGCTTCCAGCTGTTCTACCTCTACCCCAGGTCGATGATGCAAGCACTCTTAAGCTGTTGCCCGAGCAGATCTTGGCTTGACGTTTCGTCCAACAGAACAACCAAGCTGTGACGCAGATTCTTGTCCAGTGGTCTCACCAATCACCAGCTGATGCTACTTGGGAGAATTTGCAGTCATTCCGTAAGCTCTCTATCCTGACTTTCCAGCTTGAGGACAAGCTGTTTCTTTAGGGGGATGATTTGTAACAACCTGTATAACAGAACAAGGGCATTAGAGTAAATCCATACTCAGAGTGGTCAAGTGTATAAAAGGAACTGAGACGGGATGAATAAAGCATTCTGGAAATTCTGAACAATTACTCTGTTTTCCTCTGCTTTCTCTTCAATAGACTTCCTCTCTCAATTCCTTTTATACAATTGACCACTCTGAGTATGGATTTACTCTAATGCCCTTGTTCTATTATATAGGTTGTTACAGCCAACCTGCTAGCAATCCACCAAAAGCTGTGGGTCTTGGCCTTGAGGGAGGTGAGAACACTAGCGGCTAGTTGGGCTCATATCGCATGCCAATGATCACAAGAATGAGCTGATGGGCTCCATGCGGGTGGAAACCAACACGGGTTTAATAATGTTATAGAAAGGAGTGGGAAATTCAAGTCTAAATTACCCCAATTGGAGTTTTCTAAGTACAAAGGAAACAAAGACCCATCCGAATGGTTCGCGCGAGTGGAACAATTTTTAAATTTCAGGTGACTCTAGAAGAGCGCAAGGTACCTCTCGCGTCTTACCTTAAGGAAGGGGATGCTAATCAATGGTCAAAATGGATGGATCAAACCTATGCTACTTCTGGAAGGACAATTCCTCGGTCATGCTTCAAGAAAGAACTCTAGGCTCGATTTAGGATAGTAGAAGGGGCATCCAATGCGGTCAAAATCGTGGTTTTATGTAAAATAAGAACTTGAGGTAAAATTGGAATCGTAGATTAAAATCGTATAAATGTAAGATTTTAAGGTTCATGTTAAAGTAAACACTTAATACACCAGATAATAATAACAATGCATATACTGAATAACTATGACACCACATATAACCTAATTACTTCCCAAGATAAGATTGTTGCGGATGACCAGGGGGAAAGCCAATCAGGCGGTAGCAGGCTTCTTAGAGATGACCGAGCTTGTTGCAGTACGACCAACGAGGCTTCTCGCGCTCCTCCTTCGAGTCCTTATCGGCTTGGGCCTGAAACACGACGGTCTCGACAACGGGACGCCACCCAGCTGTGAGCATGCGATGCTGTTCCTCCGCAGCCACAGTTTGGTAAGCCTCAGCTAGCGATGGCGTAGGCTTCGTGCTAAGGATCTGCGAACGGACGACAGAGTATGCGTCGTCAAGGCCGAGCAGAAAGTCAAAAAGGCGCTCGGACTCAAGTCGAGCTTGAAACTGACCGAGAAGATTGCAACTACACCCGCCGCAAGAACAGCCAGCGTAAGTGCAACAGGGAAGACCACCGACCGCGTCCATCTCGTCCCAGTAAGACCGCAATTTTGTGTAGAATGCCGAGATGGACAACTTCTCTTGTCGCAAAGCAACAATCGTACGACGTAGCTCATACGCGCGTTGTGCAGAACCACGAATAAAACGTCGTTGAAGGTCGGTCCCGATTGCACGCGCAGTGGTGGCCATGCAGACACTGTTACGGACCTTGTGAGTCATCGCGGTCTTCAGCCACCCTTTGACGGTGGCATCGCAACGATCCCAGGCCTCTTGATGACGAGCCGAACCAGCCTGCGCGCCGGAAAGAGATCCATCGACAAAAGCAAGCTTGTTCTTGGCGATTAGGGTTTCGGTGATGTCATTCACCCATCACCGTAATTAAGATTGTTGAACAAATTGCTTCCAAAATGTTGAGCAGGATTTTTTGAGGGGTGGAGATAAAGGGGAGAGCTGATCGGAATGAGCTCGGCGCTCGAAGAGCCAGCCAGTTTGTCGCCGTCAGTCATCTCAGCCTTTGATCCCAGGAAAACTCAAAGATGAAGCGCTAGGTTGAATCGTAACGCTTTGATACCATGTAAAATATTGCGATCGCGGAATGAAAACAACACTGATAATTACGTGCTATCCCCGGAAACCGGGACTAATCCACGGAGAGCACAGCTCTCATGATGAGGTTCCACTATGAAAAGAGGGTTCTTAGCTTTTGAAAACGTACAACAAGCCATATAAATACCCTTCTCCAGAGAACACACGGGTAATGGCAAAGTACAAAAACACTCCCAAAACTAACCCAACGTACAACCAAGTCCAATAGCAGAGTCTTCGGACGAGGAGCCGTCTTCAGAGATGGGTGAAAACTAGATCAGCAGATTTACTTGATTCGCCAAGAGGCGTGGTTTTCTTTGAATGAGATGGGGTTTGGGTTGAGGCCCGAGAATAGAAGCAGAGGGAAGAGGAGGAGGAATCTCGGCAGGAAGATCAAGGATCATAAGAACACTCAAAGCATTGAGATAAGTAGTAGAAGTACTGCGAGATTCAGAAAGATCTACTCAAAGATTGATAAGCATACGAGTGATGAGGGGTCCAAAGGGCAGGAAGCCTTGATAATGTTCATCTCCAACAGGGAGAAGTGCACCAAAAAGGATTTGTGTGAAGTCCAGCTTACGGCGGGCAGTGGCACTGGAGATGATCCACATATCCATAGGAAGCACATTGTCCAGATTGAATGATCTAGGAAGAAGAACTCGAGTAAGGAAAAAATGGAAGATCCTTAGGCGAGGAGGTAGCCAACTGATAGGAATAGGAACATCAGATCCTCCTGTGGGTTCAGTGGAGAAGTTGGTATACTCAGTGTTGATGAAAAACTCTTGTTTCCAGAACTCATTAGGATGAGCAATATCCACTCCTTGGGAAGGAAAACCAAGTGTAGCGCTCAGAGCGGCAGCATGGATGGTTAGCAGATGACCATGTACCACAGTAGTCATGAGTCTAGAGCAAATTCCTTGAGAGCGAAGGTTTGAATAAAAATATCGAACGGCTCCAGGACAGGCAGGGTGAAGGGGTTGCCGAAGGAGAAATTCCCACCCAAGACCTTCAAGCCTCAAGGAGGGAGATAATGTCAAATTTGTAGAGATTGAACTCATAGGGATCAAGATGAGTGACAGGGTGATCCATGAAGTCCCCTGTTTGCAAAGTATTGCTGATGACGATGATGATTTATGGCAACTGGTTCATGAAACATGTAACCAGGAAAGGAATGGACAAGGCCATCAAACTGGAAGCGTCGAGGGATGAAATCACTCATTGTGTAGGGGCTTGATCAGATAGTTTAAGAGAGGAAGGTGAGGTGAGAAGGGGAGTAACAGGTCGCTTAAATAGAGAAGGAGAATAGAAGGCGAGAAGGTGAAGAGTTAAAGGAAAAAGTCCACTGACCACTAAGGAGAAGAGCATGCAAACAATAATCTTGGAAAACAGAAGGCATGCTCCAAAAAGCAAAAAGTAGTGCGTTTCTCAAGACACATAATAGCCTAGAGTAGAAAGAACATTTACATGGTTCAGTTTTTTAGATTTGCAACCTGATAGAGAGATTTTAAACCGATTTCTGTACACAAGTAAAGAAATCGTTCACTTGGAAGAGGTTTAGTTAGGAATGGCAATGGGGCAGGTCCGGGGCGGGTTTCTTGGTACCCAGACCTGCCCCGTGGAAGGTCGGGTCCAGGTCTGGTAATTTATCACGGGTCGCGGGTCGGGGCAGGTCGACCCAATGGGTATGCAATTTATACAAAAAATATTAGAAATATTGATTATTTTTATTATAAGACTAGGAAAACAAACAAAATTATGATAAATGTAGTTAAAATATTGGAGAAATTGAGGTTTTCACTAATTCACAACTTTATTATAGCCAAAATATAATGCAATAAAAGAAAAATCCTGAGTAATTTGACTCAGATTACATTAGGCAAGAACGGGTCGAGAATGGGACGGGTCAGGGCAGGTTGGGTCGATGAGAGTACACATGCCGGGTAAAACGGGTCAGGTCAAAATTGCCATCCCTAGGTTTAGTAAACAAATCAGCTAGTTGAAAATCAGTTGAGACAAATTGTAAACAGACATGTCCTGCTTGAACAAGTTCTCTAATGAAATTGGTATTTAATTTCTATATGCTTTGTCCTAGAGTGCTGCACTGGATTTTTTGTCATACAGATTGTACTTGTGTTGTCACAACAAATAGGAATATTTTTAAGCATAAAATCATAGTCTGAAAGTTGTGCTTTCATCCACATTAATTGGGTACATCAACTACCAGAAGCTACGTACTCCGCTTCAGTTGTAGAAAGAGCTACAACACCTTGCTTTTTACAAAACCATGACACAAGAGCTGGACCAAGAAACTAAACTATTCCTGAAGTGCTTTTCTATCGACAAGGCTACCTCCAAAATCAGAATCAATGTAGCCTATTAGATCGAATGAATCTGTTAAGGGATACAAACCAACATCCATTGTTCCTTTAAGATACCTAAAAATTCGCTTGACAACTTTAAGATGGCTTTCTTTTGGATTTGATTGAAACCTAGCACATAACCCGACACTATACTGAATATCAGGACGACTTGTAGTTAAGTACATAAGTGATCCTATCATACCCCTGTATTTTTTCTCGCAAACTGGAATTCCAGCTTCATCTTTATCTGTTTTGAGGTTTGTTGCCATAGGTGTGGATTTAGGACTTACAAAGTTCACATCAAATTTCTTCGACATTGATTCAATATATTTAGGTTGAGAAATGAATATTCCAGAATCAGTTTGTTTTATTTGAAGACCAAGAAAGTACGATAACTCACCCATCATACTCATTTCAAACTCAGATTTCATGGATTCGCAAAATTGTGTACACATAGTGGGATTAGTTGATCCAAACACTATGTCATCTACATAAAGAGTTTTGTCCACACTGCCTTGAGAGAAGTTTTCCTTTATAAGAAAGGATGAAAGTTTTCAAACCAAGCTCTAGGAGCTTGTTTTAATCCATATAAGGCTTTTGACAATTTATAGACGTGATTTGGGAACTCATGATCTAGAAATCCTGAAGGTTGACTAACATAGACTTCTTCTTTGATTTCACTATTTAGAAAGGAACTTTTAACGTCCATTTGAAACAGATGTATTTTCATGTAACAAGCAAATGCACAAAACATTCTAATGGATTCTAGTCTTGCTACGGGGGCAAACGTTTCATCGAAATCAATTCCTTCTTCTTGAGAATACCCCTGTGCAACCAGTCTTGCTTTATTTTTGATGATATGTCCTAATTCATCATATTTATTCCTATAAACCCATTTTGTGCCAATGATGACTCTATCTAATGGCCTAGGTACGAGTTCACATACATGTAATCTAGCAAACTATATCAGTTCATCTTGCATTGCACACAACCATTCTTCATCAGTTAAAGCTTCTTTATAATTTTTTGGTTCTAGTAAAGAGTTGACCTGGAGAATACTTACCTCGGGTACGAATTCTGTCGTTTAGTTCTCCAATGATTTGTGTATGAGGATGACGTTTTTGAATGTAGACTGGATCATTTTTCTCTTTGACTTCAGATTGTCCAGATTCTGGCAGCACATTATTTGATTTTAACTCTTCTTACAGCTGGTCACTTGTATTTATTTCTTCCTGTGTAGGGAGTGATCCTTGTGCAGACATATTCACTAGCTTGGATGCTGGAAATAGAAAGTCTACATTTGCTATACAAATCTTTTCATCACAAGCAGAGTCATCAAATTTCACAAACAGAGATTCTTCCACTCTTTTAGATCGAAGATTGAATATTTTGTAGGCTTGTCCTTTTACAGCGTATCCCAGAAAAATTCCTCTATCTGACTTTGCATCAAACTTGTTTAGCTTATCCTTTAGGGGTGGGCAACGGGAAACATGTATTTGGGTATACCCGTACCCGTCCTGTTTTTTTAAGGGTTACGGATACCCAAATATCCATATTTTTTTTTTACGGGATGGAATTTGGGATCAATAATCACTACTTTGCTACCCACGGGTTACCCGTTAATACCCGCTTGGGTATTACGGGTACCCGTTGTACCCATTATGGCGGAGAAGGATGAGTTGCATGATAGAAAAATGAGCTATTTTGAGATGATGAGAGGTGGTGGTGGTTACGGCTGCGTTTGGAGTGGTATGAGACACGAGGGGAAGGACACTGCTTCCATTTGTTTAAACTGGGGAACAGAGAGGCTGGGACTCTCATGGAAAGGATTGTTGGGTTCGTGAAGCAATATTGAAAGTATGATCTCCAAAAGCCTAAAACCTCCTCTTCAATCATACTGTATATAAAAGAGCTTGTATTTTGTTGGATCAGATGAATACTTGGTTTCCAACCTCTATAACAAAACACGACAATTATGTTTCATTGGGTACACTAGTAGAACAAAGATCTTACGTGAAATTGCCGTATTATAAGATTTCACCAATTGCACGGGTATTTACGGGTAGTATGGGTACCCGTTATCCGTCCCGTATGGATAATGGGTACCCGTTAACCCGTACGGGTTTGGGACATGGGATGGAGATTGCTCTCCAAATGGGATTGGGTACCCGTTTGGCCGTTTAAAACGGGACGGGCCCGTCCTGTTGCCCACCCCTATTATCCTTTGTGTTTAGTACAAAACACTTACATCCGAAGGGATAGAAGTATCCCAGATTTGGAGTTTTATTTTTAAGGATTTCATAGGGGGTTTTGTTTATGTTTTTGCAAATCAGTACACGATTTATTACATAAACAACAGTCATTACAGCCTCCCCATAAAAATTTCAAAGTATTATATTCCAAAAGCATGGTTCTAGCAGTTTCAATTATGGTTCTATTTTTTGTTTCTACTACACCATTCTGCTGTGGTGTTCTAGGGGCATAAACGTATGGTTTATACCTTTATCATCACACAAAGCACCAAACTGTTCAGACATGAATCCTCCTCCACTATCACTCCTAATTGTTTTGATCCCTTCTTTAGATTCATTTAAGATAGTAGCTACGAAGGTTTTGAATTTTGCAAAGGTTTCATCCTTGGATTCAAACAAGTATACACAAGTATATCTAGAAAAATCATCTACCAGCACATAAGCATATGATTAGGGGTGGGATTCGGTCGGTAAACGGTAAATTGTTTACGGAATTTACCGGTTTCGATAAACCGAAGTTGGTCAAATTGGTTACCGATTACCGATACCGGTTTGTAACCGATTTACCGATTTACCGGTAAACGGTTACAAACCGGTATTACCGAAATACCATGAGAAGCAATTTCGGGCGGTTTTTCGGTCGGTTTACGGAATATTTACCGAACCGAATTTTTGGAAGTGGGGTGATGTTGTAATATTTTGATTTTTTTGAGTTTTTTTCATCATTTTTGTAATTAATAATTTATTATTAACTCTTATTTACAGTATTTTTGAGGCCTATACTTACTTACAATCATGTATGTAATATTTTATATTTGTGAATAATGATGTATATGTTATATGTTAGTAGAGTAGGGAGGGGGGATTTCGGTATAGGTATTACCGATTTACCGTCGGTATTTACCAATACCGTGTCCGGTATTATAATTATAATCATCCATTTTTCCTCTATTAACAATATCTCTTGTACTTTTCTCTCCTTTTCAAAAATAAATAAATAAATAAATAAATACATCAATAGGAGGAAGAAGAACAAGAAAAAATATTATGACTGAATATTGGAAACACAACACATAAAAGTTTGAGGGATTGTGTTTACGCCTAGAAAGTGCCAGGCGGATTTGTGAAAGCCTTGGAGAATAACGCTGTTCCTTGATATGGGGGTGCTCCGTTCACTGCAAAAAAGGTCCGAGTAATGGCCCGCGAACACTCACCAACGATCTAGTCAGTGTTTAGAGAGAGAAAGTGAGGTAGAGAGAGAGTAGAATTAGTTACCATTAAATGAGGTGGTTTACTCTTATTTATAGTCTGTAGTAGTTGGTGTAAGCACTTGGTGTCTTGT